GGAGCTGCTACTGCCGGAGTCGGTTAAGGGGCTCAAGGATCAATTGTCGGTCGCGATGTATAAGAAACTTTGGTTGCCGGACTTTTTCCACAGGGACTACCTAAAGGTATTTTATAGTGTGGCCAAGTGCTGCTTTAGTTTTAATAGTCACATCAGAATCCTGTTTTCCGATGGTTTCGCGTTGACAGCTGTGCTCGGCGTGTGAATATAGGTAATGTTCAGCAATAGGAAGGAGAGGGGTGAACTGCTGGAGGGGATGGTAATCAGAAGCGAGGATGCCGAAGTTCCCAATTTTCCCCAGGTATACAGTATTAATTATTAGCATTGTTTCCTGGCAACGGGGGGAAATTTATTAGGAGACCGAACACACCCCGAAACTTTTCCTCGATCAGATAGCACGAAACACCCCATCGTTACTTGTCGTTAACTGAGTGTGTTTGGTAACCAAAATGTTTCTTTTTGTAGTGTTTTTTTTTAAAACGCCATACCATGGTGTTTATTTTTCAAACGTGTTTTCAAAACACCATTTATAGTTATTATTTATATAGCGGCGGCGGCGGCGGGCCCCGCCGGGCGACCGACGGACGACGACCGCGGCGGAGCGGGCAGGCGGCGTGTGCGGGCGGGCGGTGCGGCTGGCGCGCAGACCGGCGACAGGCGGAGGATGGCCGGGGCCGCCCGACGCGATGACTTGGCGGTCGACGGGCGGCGCTTCTTCGCGGACGACACCGGTAGCGGCTTGCGTCGGCAGCCGACAGCGGCCGCATGACAGGCCTAGCGGCGGTGGCGGTGGGCGGGGGTGGCGGGGGGGGGGGGGGGGGACGTGCGGGCGTTGCGGAACTGGCTGACGGGCAGCCTGCGTGCTGTCTGGCGGGCGGCGGACGGCGGAAGCGAAGGAGAAAATGGCAACGCGCGGGCAAGGGCTAGCGGCGGGCGGGTCGGCCGGCAGGCCCAGTGGCAACGGCGGGTGGTGGAGTGCGCGGGCGGCAGACGCGGACGAAGCCGAGCGGCGGGCCGGCGCGGCGGAGCTATGGCCTGACTGCGGCAGCGGCGGCGGATGGCCGACGCGGGTAGTCGCGGCGGGGCGGTGGCGGCAGGCGTGGGCAGCGGGCGACCGGGGGGCGCGTCGTATGGTGGCGCGCAGGCGGCCTGCACGTCGCGGGGTGGTGGCGGTGTGCGCGCGCGGTACGGTCGACGAGCAGCTGGCGACGAACGGGCCGCACAGGCAACGCCGCGGGCGGGCACGGCGGCTGCGGGGTAGGTGGGCGCTGGGAGCGGCGAGGCAGGCGGCTGGCTGAGCGGCGGGTGGTGGCGGGGGGGCGACGGCTGGCCGACGAGCAGCGGCGGGCGAGCGGGCGGCGGACGGGCGGCGGCTTAGATGAAAAAACGGAATCTCAAAACACTTTTTTAGTGTTTTAAGAAAAACGTTTATTTTTTGGATTTTTTAAAGGGTCAAGTCAAAAAATCGCCCCGGTTGCCAAACACGTTTCATTGTTTTTTTTTTTTTTTTTTTTTGAAAAAAAAAACGAAAACGGCAAAAACGTCATGGTTGCCAAACGCTCCTTGACGATTAACTTTTCATTTTAAAGGCATGCATGCCCTGCTAGCTAGTTTGGATGCATATACGTAAATGTGTTACAATGCGATCATCTTTTTTAACGTATATATATTGATGTTGATAACATTTTCCCCCCTTGCAGACGATACTTTTACTATGGGGTGAGAATGACAATATATTCAACATGGAGCTAGCACAGAACATGTTGGTGTAAGTTAACCCCAGAACATTCGCTCCGTCCCCTTCCATTAACATGCGTCATGCGTGCATGAACATACTTCTGTATGAAACTTAAAATTGTAAGTAGAAATTTTCAACTTCAGAGAAATAATTTGCAATGTAAATGCAGTCAACTAGGGAAGAAATCTACACTGCGAGGAATAAAGAATGCTGGTCACCTGGTTCATCTAGAGCGCCCCTGTGTCTACAACCGCCGACTCAAGAAGTTCCTCGCTCTCGTCAATTCCCAACACACCACCGAACAGTCTTGATGCAAATTTCACAATTTTGGCTAGCTCCACATTTTGCATATCCCTCATCTGTTGCATGTCATTTTTTTATACGACACGTTCAATATGGTAATAAAAATTTAATAAAGCCCGAAAATCTTATGGATCTTCACTTGCTCAGGAAGACAAAATAGTTTTCAAATAACGAGTGTCATCCAGGATCATCAAGTTGATACGGTGTTACTAGCTGTTGAAGTTAACTGGAGAGGTGGGTATTGTTGGTTCTTGATATATCAATCTGTTGATAGAGTGGATAGCCTTCTCATCAAAGAATTAGCGGTGTTCACCTAACCTGTGCTACAGTGTTCATCTACCCCCGTGCTACAATGTTCACCTGCCCCAAATAGTATTCACCTACCCCCATGAGAAAACTTATAAATACCGCCCTAAATTTTATTTGTAAGGCATCTCAGTAGCAGAGAGAGAAAGAGAAAGATACAGATATAAGTAATATCATTGAGAGAGTTTGTGAGAAATTCTTAGAGAGTATCTTGATCAAGAGAGGGTGTTCTGTTTTATCTTTTTTCTTTGTAACCTCGAAAGGAATATAAAGGAATTGGGCGTCATCGTTGTACCGTGGAGTAGCTCCGTAACAGTGAACCACGTTATATCTGTGAGTAATGTAATTGAATTTGTGTGTACTAGTTTTATTCTGTAATTCCAAGATTGTTTGGTGTGTTTTGCGTCTCTGTTTGAGGCGTTCTTGTTGGCGTGTACCCTAACAAGTGGTATCAGAGCATAAGCTTTGGGAAAGACGGAATCTTTCGTCATGGGATCTACAGTTGAAGACAACAGCTTCGGATTGAGAAGTTCGACGGTCAAAATTTTAGGTATTGTAGGATACAGATAGAAGACTATTTATACCAGAAGGATCTCTTCCTACCCCTCCAAGGAGAGGTGGGGAAACCTGAGAAGATGGATGACGATAAGTGGAAGATGCTCGACCGTAAAGCACTTGCCACCATCAGGCTCAACCTTCACCAGCATGTGACTTATAACGTCTCGTATGTGACCACTATAGGCGTATAAAATTGTTTATAGGTCCCTTAATACAGCTCAACACAAACCGACGAACAAACGAGGCAACGAGGTTAACGAATCGCACGCAAAGAACGGAATAAATCCATTCACGTGTGGAATCAAGCTAACGGGTTGAAGAATCAACGAGTCATTCATCCAAGGGCGGACTCGGACAAATCACGATCGAGTCAAGATCAATTTCGAACTCGAACTCAGAAGTGGATTTACTGCCATATCAGGAATCAGGTCAACGAATCGAATCCGAACAAGTCAAACACACAACCGAATCACGGATAGAACCGAAAGACGGAAAACGATGGAACCTATAGGGGCTCGGCCAAAACCGGGCCACCTATAGGTGGCTCGGCCAAAGCCCGGCCACCTACAGGTGGCCGGCCCAGATCTGTGCGCGGGCACAGTTCAGAGAGCCTATAAATAGGAGGCCTAGGCTCATTTGTCAAAGGTTGGATTTTTTGGAGGCGAAGCCCTGCTGGATAGGGGGCTCGGCCAAGAGCCGGCCACCTACAGGTGGCCGGCCCAGATCTGTGCACGGGCACAGTTCAGAGAGCCTATAAATAGGAGGCCTAGGCTCATTTGTCAAATGTTGGAACTTTTGGAGGCGAAGCTCTGCTGGATTCAAGGCTCAGAACTAAGAAAGATTGAAGCTTTGGGACTTTGAAGACTTGCTCATCCAGATCCGGTGCTCGGCGATCGTCAACGCCAAATAAGGCAAGAGTTCGAGAGGAATCGGATCTCAAATCGGATCTCAGATCTACGCAGGCATACTCCGGATCAAAGCTTGGTCTTTGATCCCGAGATTTGGGCGATTATTTCCTTGGTGAAATAATCCTCCCCGGCTATTATTTCCTTCGTGAAATAATATCCGTCGTACTGCGTAGATCCGACTGGATCTAGATCTCGC